TGCAGACGACCAATTCTCTCACCAGAAACAACTTGCAGTTTCTCAAGTTGCTCCTGACACGACAAAAAAATGTCATATTACCTCTAGAAGTAATGAGGAAGATTTTTCTCAACCACAGACATAGATAGGGCTGAAAAAAGTTTTCCACATTACCTCTCAGCAGATCTCTAAATGGTGGACAACTTCTGGAGGCCCACCAAACAACTGAGAACTTTAACCATTCATGAGAATGGTTAAGAGAATGTGACCACTCCCTGCTATAGCCATTGCATGACAAACATTCAGACAGCAAAAAATTAAAACTTTAGGAACAAGCACTTCTCCTTTAATACAAAATATGTAGAACAAACATGTTTTGTTTCCATGCCACTGAGTTCTTTCAAGATGTGCCCCAATGAGTTATAAAAATAGGGTACCAAATTACTAAAATTTGGCAGGACAAGAGCAAATCAAATGCAACGTTTTACATTTTCAGCAATAGCAGGGTCCTTGGAGAGATACAACAATAAATGAGGGGTGAGTGCAGTGAGTTGGGGTGCTAGAGATTGGAGTGGTATCTTCTGCACATAAAGCAGTGCTCTGCCACTGAGCTTTATAGGAGCAGGATATAAGGAGAGACTAAAATAGACAGGGTGGGAATTTATGCCCCAAATATCCCGAATTTATCAATATTTTTGTGTTCTTCATATTTGGGATGGGGAGGAGAATTGTGGGTAAAATGAATGCAGAGCAAAACGAGCAGATTTTTCCACCTCTACACATAATTTTTCTCCTTGATGATCATCTCTTCTGGATGCTTACATCTCATCTGACTTTTTTGGCTTCATTCCTTCAACCCCTCAATAATTAAAGCTTACTGCTCATGGAAACAGAGCTTGAAAAAGCTAATGTTTTTTGGAACTCCACTTTTACTACCATATCACACAGGCCAATTTGCCCGTTGTATGCCGCTTGCTCTCCACTTTCAACACGGAGCCCATTAGACGATGCACAAGGACTTCTGGCTGGGATCCGTACCGAAAGAGGAGAGGAAGCGGCGCACACCGCTACTGCGGCAACATGGGAGCCTTCTCATGTTGCCTTATCAGCAATGGAGGGAAACCAGGTGGTGACACTTCCCGCCATGGGATATGGGTTAAGGCAAATCCATGCCCCACCCCAATCAGCAGCCCATGGATTCGTCACAATGTGTGGCAAATCCATGGGCCTTTGTGATGAGGTCTTTAGTATCTCCTCTGCTATATGGATGCTGAGTCCTGAAAAAAACCGCAAAATAATTTTTCCCTAATACTTAGACCTACAGTTTAAGGCAGGGGTCCTCAAACTATGGCCCAGGGGCCAGATTCGGCCCTCCAAGGTCATTTACCTGGCCCTTGCTCAGGGTCAACCTAAGTTTGAAATGATTTGAAAACACACAACAACAACAACAACAACAACAGTCTTATCTCATCAGCCAAAAGCAGGCCCACACTTCCCATTGAAATACTAATAAGTTTATATTTGTTAAAATTGTTCTTCATTTTAATTATTGTATTGTTTTAAGTTTTTTTGCACTACAAATATGATATGTGCAATGTGCATAGGAATTTGTTCATTTTTTTTTCAAATTATAATCTGGCCCTCCAACAGTTTGAGGGATTGTGACCTGGCCCTCTGTTTAAAAAGTTTGAGGACCCCTGGTTTAAGGTCTCTAAATATCCTGAAGGCAGCACATCCCATCTGATCTTGGATGCTAAGCAGATTCTGAACTGGTTAGTATTTGGACAGGAGACCCCCAAGAAATACCACTGCTGTAGGCAATATTTCAGAGGAATGGCAAATCACCTCTGAGTATCCCTTACCTAGTAAAACCCTATGAAGTTAATGGGGTCAACATACTTGAAGGTAGAAGAGCAAAAAGAAGAGGCAATGGAAAAGTCTTCAGGTTGGAGGCATTGAACTGCGGCATGGGCCAGCCAGCATGACCCTTGTGCACTATGGGCTTTCAAGCTCTGAAGAAAATGATAGAAAAGTCAACTGGACAAAGGAGAGAAGCAGAATCCCGTTAGATATAGAAAGCCGGCACTGAACACAGCAATACCACGAAATGTGCTCTGCTATATAAATCTACCTCCAATGCTGTCTGGGCCAAGAAGACAAGAATCAAAGCCTCTTCCCCCCACCCTACGCCGGCTCCTTCAACATGACAAACTTGTTAACAGCTATAAATAAGCTAGTAATTTGCAAGTTATGAATCACTTCAACGGAAGATTTCTCTGGCGTTATCACAGCTTTCATGCCTTGGCGTCACAGACTTTGAGCAATCTTGGTTTCCAGAACTGTCATTCTAGGACTTGGGAAGGGATGTGGGGGAAGTGCGTGTCTGTATCTGAAAAACCCCTCATTAAGATGCAGAACCAGAATACCACAGAGGGACCACCTCCTTCTCCCAGATCGCTCAAGCCTCCCGAGCAGATTTTCATAACTCTTCAACATTTCAAAGATGAAAACCAGGACATGGTGTCCAAGCGACAGATACCAAAAAACAAAAGTTACTAATGAAGAACAACACACATAATAGAAGAGGTTGCAGCTGTTTGCTTTTGCCAGAGTCTACTGGGATGGGCAAGATTCTGCCCTCTTTTCGCTCCTCTTCTCTGCTGAATTGCTTGCTGAAAAGTCACCTCATACAAACAAATTCTAGGGATGAAACTAAGAACAAAATTAAAAGAAAGGCCATGAAAAGGAAGACAGCCAAGAGTTCAAGAAAAGAGTTGCAGTAGGGATTGAGAAAAGTACTACATCCTATTCAGGTCTCAGGCCAGTGGGGTAGTTCAAGGCAATGCTACACAAAGTGGTGATCCATGGTTTAGTGCTGATCTGCAAGTCATCAACTGTTAGTCTAAGGCAGACTTGCGGGAAAGAAAAGCATAGTTGCAGCCAACTGGCACAAATATGAAACTGGTCCCTGGTGCATTGGGGAAAATGTACCACCTCTGTACCTGAGAATGTACCTGAGAACCACTGATTTAGGGGATACAGGACAGACTGTCTTCCAAGAGGTGGGGAATGGCTGAGGGATACAAAAGGAATATATAGGGAGGAAGCAGCAGTCTTGCTCTCTACTACCTGCAGTTGTCTCATTCTGCCTAATGGTTGGACCAGTCCTAAGTCTCATGGAATTTTGTTATGAGAAATGTAACCAACTTGAAACTTTTAAAATTATGCAACTAGGAATGAAAGTTGTCTGTCTTGAAGTTAACAAACAAAGGCTAGAATGGGTTGTTGTAGGTTTTTTCGGGCTATATGACCACGGTCTAGAGGCATTCTCTCCTGACGTTTCACCTACATCTATGGCAAGCATCCTCAGAGGTAGTGAGGTCTGATGAAACTAGGAAAAAGGGTTTATATATCTGTGGAATAACCAGGGTGGGACAAAGGACTCTTGTCTGCTGGAGCTAGGTGTGACTGTTTCAACTGATCACCTTGATTAGCATATAATGGCCTGACAGGCTAGAATCCTGCTTTTAGAGTAGGCTGATTGAATCAACTGAATCAACATATAGGAAAATCCCATTAATTTACTGGCTCTTCTCTAATCCAGAGTAACAATAGAATTTTGGCCAATGATACATTTGTATGCACATACGTGCCCTCAAGTCAACTTATGATGACCCAATGAATTTTATAGAGTTTTATTAAGCAATGAATACTCAGAGATAGATTTGCCAATTCCTTCCTCTGAAATAGAATCACCTACAGCATCTCGTATTCATTGGTGGTCTCCCATCCAACTATGAACCAGGGATGATCTTGCTTAACTTTCAAGATCAGATGGGATCTGATGCCTTTAGGATATTCAAGCATAGGGCAGATGGATAGATAGCTAGATAGCTAGATACTACTCCCATTGAATCATTGCCTATGTGTAAAGTTGCCTTGCTCTTTGGGGTGAAAGAGGGCAGGGTAGAAATATAGTAAATAAAATAAATAAATATAAATATCTGTGGGATCGATATCCATGGTTTCATTTATCCACTGCAGTTTAATACAAAGTAGTCTACCTTGGTTTTCTCCTACTGCATTTACTAGTACGGGTCCTATGAGATTTTGGAAAAGGCTTTGAGAATGAAAAACAGGATCCGGCTCAATCAGAAGTCTCCACTCTTTTTATATGCCTTTAAATTCTAACTACAAAATAGAATCCGCTTTGAATGTGTTTTTTGATTTGCCAGATTTGTTTATATTCCTCCTCTCTTTAGAGTTGCATGAAGAACAAGATTCCCACATCTTACACTACTTGTTAAATATTTCCGTGCTGCCCTTGCAGGGCTGAGGTCCTTACAAAATAAACATTGAAACAAGATAACACAGTACAGTATGTAACAAAACAACTGTAAGACAATAGCCATTCACTCAAGAGGAGCCCATATTAAATTAACCACAAAAATAATTGGCGGTTTCCTTTTTTAAAATATATTAAGGTTTTCTTTTACAGAGAAGGAGCTCAGCAAGATTTACGGGTGTGAACAAAAGTGGAACACCAACCAAAAGATTTCAAGGAACTATGCCCTTTTATGTAGCTGATTGCCTTGTACATATCTAATTGTATTTCTCTTCTCTCTCTCAAGGAAGGAAGGAAGGAAGGAAGGAAGGAAGGAAGGAAGGAAGGAAGGAAGGAAGGAAGGAAGGAAGGAAGGAAGGAAGGAAGGAAGGAAGGAAGGAAGGAAGGAAGGAAGGGGACAACTGTTTCCAATGCCTTTAGATCAGCACATAATCTCTATGGGGGTCCCATCTCACCAGCTGTAGATCTGTGTTTAAGATGTCCTTCAACCACTTTGGGATTCAGTAAACTAAACACTGTAAAAGAACCTTTAGGACAAACTAGTTTCTTTCCATCTTTTTTTACATTTGTTGTGCCTTTTTTGCTCAACCCATATTTTATGTCATAGGAAAGGGACCACTACATCTGAAACAAGGCCACAACAGAAAGTCTGTGAGAAGAAGGGAGGAGTACATACCCACTCTTGTCTCTTCCTTCCCTCTAAGCACCTTTCCCTTTGCATCCGGACTGTCCTCATTCCCATCACTTGCGTGGCATCTAGCGCTAGTTCAGATCCATTGGTACTTTTCCGCCGTTGCAAAGCCTTCCACTCCCCGATTGATGCTTCCTTTTATTTATTCTGAAGTTTCTCAATGTAAAACAAGAATGCCACCTTTCTAAAATTACTGCCATCCGCCGAAGTAACATTTACGGGAGGCAATATTCTCCAACGCTATGAAGCATGCATTGCCCTAAATTACATTGCAGCGTCTGCTCAAAGCTTGCACATTTTTGAATACGAAAGCTCCCAGGGATCCGTCCTCTCGTTTCCATACAGAGAGTGCATTTACTGCTTGAAAACATTTTTAACCCAGACAGCAAAGTGCCAGCCTCACAGACCTCATGCTAATCCTAGCCCGGGTGGCTGTTCTTGAGGGAAAGCATGCAAAAAATTGTAACAGAGCATCAACTTTGACCCTTTTTGCTTAACACATGAGACTCCTAAATTCCAGAGGGAATTGCTGAACTCTGACCTGCTTAAAATTAGCTTTGTTTAGTGCCTTGTGTGGTGACTCAACGGGCCAGATTTTGTCTTATTTCCCTCCCCCTTTTTATTCTTTTCTCTTTTTTTGTAATAGGAAGAATAATTGTTGTTCCTTCTGAAGATTTGGCACACAAACTTCCAGATGAGATAAGAATGCTTGATAACACCAGAAAGAAGCAAAACTATCAGTTGTGCTTTCTTCCAAATGCGAATTTTGTGGATTTCGGTAAATTATAAACAAAATTAGACTGAAGGAAACTCAATAGTTTAAGTTTTTTCTGCACATTCAAATTTTGTTAATTATAATAAATCTAGATAGATAGATAGATGAGAAAACAAATGGTATTATTGAAAGATATAAAGATACGTGAGAGTGAAAGAGATCTTGAAATAAAAATATTGCTTATCGTTACAAAAAATTCAAGAAACGAAGAGGATGACCTTCAGGTTGCTGTAAGTTTTCCAGGCTGTATCGCCATGTCCCAGAAGCATTCTCTCCTGACATTTTGCCCACATCTATGGCAGGCATCCTCAGAGATTGAGGGATCTGTTGGAAACTAGGCAAGTGAGGTCTATATATCTATGGAATGTCCAGGGTGGGAGAAAGAACTCTGGTCTGTGGAGGCAAGTGTGAATGTTGCAATTGGCCACCTTGTTTGGCATTGAAAAGCCTTGCAGCTTCAAGCCTCAGCTGCTTCCTGCCTGGGGGAATCCTTTGTTGGAAAGTGTTAGCTGGCCCTGATTGATTCTTGTCTGGAATTCTCCTGCTTTCTGAGTGTTGCTCTTTATTTACTATCTTGATTTTAGAATTTCTTAATACTGGTAGCCAGATTTTGTTCATTTTTACGGTTTACTCCTTTCTGTTGAAATTGTTCACATGCTTGTGGATTTCAATGGCTTCTCTGTGTAGTCTTGGCATGGTGGTTGTTAGAGTGGTCCAGCATTTCTGTGTTCTCGAATAATATGCTGTTTCCAGGTTGGTTCATCAGGTGCTCAGCTATGGCTGACTTCTCTGGCTGAAGTAGTCTGCAGTGCCTTTCATGTTCCTTGATTCGTGTTTGGGCACTGCTGCTGTGTTTGGTGGTCCCTCTGTAGACTTGTTCACAGCTGCATGGTATACAGTAGACTCCTGCAGAGGTGAGAAGATCCCTCTTGTTCTTTTCTAAATGTAGCATTTGTTGGATTTTGATGGCCTTCCTTCATTCTGCATTCTGCAATAAAGCTATGCTGTGATAGAATATAAAATTGGCTCTGATTTTCCTCCATTCCCCCCTCTTTTTACACTTGTGGGCATGGGATGTGGCTCTCTAATGTCTTCTAGTGAACCAATGGAGGCCACCTTAGATAGTTTCCCAGCCCTGGCTTCAATACAATTCCTCATCACAGATGAAGGATGAACAGCCACCAAAAAAGGAACACTTACTCAAACCCACCGATTCAATTAAACCCATTTAAGTAGAAACAAGCAATTGAGATTTAAGTTGATGGCCTGCAATGTTCTGTCCACTGGCTCAAACATTTTCTGTGTGAGTGGTCTGAGAGGAAGAGCCTATGTGGACTCAACTGGGGATGTTTATTCATTTACATTTCCCTCCATATAACTTCCAATCTCAGACGCTGAGTGAGATCCATGTATGGTTGAGAGGAACATTAAAAGGGGTGGCAGACCCTAGACTTTGAGACAGTTGCTTTGAGTAGGCTAAAATAACCCCTCCTTGTTGTGCTTCTATCAAGGATTGAAGATTTCTTTATTCAAATAAGCTAAAGGTAAAACTACAATGCCCTTGATTTCATAGCACTTAGCCACGGTGGTTAAAGTGGTGTCAAACCACATTAATTATACCATGTAGATGAACTCTTAAATCTTTTAACTACCAATTTTTCTACAAAATCTGTGAATACCTTGATGCTCTTCACTAAGGTTAAAGAAAAGAGGAGAAAATCAAGATTCAAAGAGTCCAAAAGTGGATATTCTGAACCCACTGCCATTTTTTTTAGAAATTCAGGTAATCTGCCATTTATAAGGTTTCCACCCCACTTCCAGCACAATCTCTCACATAACAAAACCAGGCATCACATTTTTGCAGTCTGTGTATGAATGCCACAGACAATCTTTTTGAAGATGCTAAGCTGTAAAAGATTATATTGCAGTAACTTCCTTGAATGTTTGACTTTTACTGGCATTGGGGGGTGGGTGGGTGGGGGTGGGATGGTTTCAGTGGTATTGTTGCACGCACTGCTATATGCACACTTACATTTTTTCTAAAGGAGCAGTCCTGCAAACATTTACTCAGAAGCAAATCTCCCTTCATTCAATGGCTTGTATTGATTGATATTCAAGACCCTTCCAGACAAGCCATATATCCCAAGTTATGATGCCAGGTTTTGTGTTTATACCAGATTATTTAGCAGTGTGGACTCATATAATCCTGTTTAAAGCAGAAACCCCGGGATCACATCTTGGGATATAGGGCCTGTCTAGAAGGGCTATCTGTGTTTCCGTTCTGGATATGTAACCTATGATAATGCATTTGTAAACATTCATAATACCTTCACTGTCAGAATCATAACATTTTTGCCATCCTCACTACATCCTCAGACAGATCTCTCAAACCTACTTTAGAAGACATCAGTGGCTCAGGGCCCTTCCACACAGCCATATAACCCAGAATATCAAGGCTGAAAATCCCACAATATCTGCTTTGAACTGGGTTATCCGAGTCAACTCTACCATATATTCCAGTTCAAAGCAAAAATGTGGGATTTTTTTCAGCTGTGTGAAAGGGGCCATCAAGAGATGGAGATCGTATCTGATGGCAATTGATGTGTTGATTTTATCTCCATCCTGGCCTGCTGGTGAGGTTGTTGGGGCTTTTATTTTACTTTAAATTCATTTTGCCCCACTTTGGGTAATGATGGAGGTACTCAAGTGTTTGCCAGAAATTCTGGAGTATCCCCTGGCTTTGGGGCCGTTTGGACAGTGAGGTTGGTTTGATTTGTCCCTGTCCAGACTGGAGACTGGCATCAACACCTTATCCATGTGCTTTTATTGTAGGGGAAGGGGTCATGCCCATGTCACTACTTTTCCTAGATGGCTACAGAACTTTTGGCATCTCTATAATTCCTACTCCACCTTCCAAGACTCAAATGTGCCCCATTCTGGCATCAGTAGACTTATCCATTCTACCAGGAAAAGGGAAGGGAGATCACCCTTTCCCTTGCTGTTGGTTATAAAAATGCCCCATTATGATGTGAGCAGTGGTGCCCCAATATCCACAAGCTCAGATGAAGCTCTATGGTCAGCTAGGACTGACGCTGATGATGATGATGATGATGATGATGATGATGATGATGATGTGGATGAGGTAAGAAGCAGGCCACCCCAGTGGAGACAATGCATTCCTGGATCATCTGAACATCAGATCAGGGCTGCTCTGGGGCATATTTATACCAAGTTAAACTTTTTTTTATCATGTCAGAAGCAACGTGAGAAACTGAAAGTTGCTTTTGATGTGAGAGAATTGGTCGTATGCAAGAACATTGCCTAAGGGACACCCAGATGTTTTACCATACTGTGGGAGGTTTCTCTCATGTCCCTGCAAGGAAAGGTGGAGCTGACAGATGGGAGCTCATCCCATCCCGTGGATTCAAACAGCTAACTTCCAGGTCAGCAGTTCAGTCAGCACAAGGGTTTAGCCCACTGCACTACCATGGTTCCCACCAAGTTAAACTGCCTGATGTAAATGAGCTCTTGGATAGACATAAATAGCTAAGCACATATGCAGAATTCTGGCCAATGTTTTTCCAGGCATGTATGTATGTATGCATGTATGTATGAGGGTGGTGGTTGTTGTTCTTTTACTCTTTTATGTTAACGAACTGCTCCCAGGGTCCCCTTTGGCATACCACAAATGTCCTACCCAAGCAGGAGTGCAACTCAAGGTGGAGGTTATAACAGACAATGTCTCTCTACATCCTCAGACAGACAGCGGGGAAGTCAAGCCAGTCCAGAGGGAGTCAGCATTTCAATAAGGCTATTGCGAAATTCGGCACTTAAGAAATGTTTGTCCATCTGAGATAAACTGTTCATGATAAGCAGCATTCCTGGTGAGTGAAAAAAATGTGTTTAGCAGTGCAGTAGATCACTCCCAAAAGAAGACTGGTTTGAACACACTTACTACGCTGGGAATAACTGGCTGCATTGAAAACAAAAAAAATGCACACAAGTTGATATGCACTTTAAGGTACTACACATCTGAGGAGAGAAATATTTTCTCCCCTTTTTAAGAGTACAAAAAGCACCATAATGTACAAATCTACCAGCACTAGAAATGGAGTAACCATATTCTATATGGAGTGAAGACGTAGTACGAATTCTTTTCCACCTACATATAGTCAGATGTCATATAGTCATGCTAGCCACATGACCTTGGAGGTGTCTACGGAAAACGCTGGCTCTTCGGCTTAGAAATGGAGATGAGCACCAACCCCCAGAGTCGGACATGACTGGACTTAATGTCAGGGGAAAACCTTTAACTTTACCTATAGTTGGATTAGGTTTAGCCCCTTCCATGTTGCTGTATAACACACAAAAACACACATTTGAAAAGGATGTACAAGGAGGTAAGCTATAACTATTGGGTAGGAGCAAATGAAGACATCGTCCCTCAAATGATCATTCTGCCTCCCTGTATGGTGTTTCCCTTCAGCCCTAAATTTCCTAGCACTGCAGCGAATGAAGCAATGAATATCATTAACACCTAGAACTCTTTCTTGTGTTGTGTTTGCATTATCTTGGTAACTTAGCCTCT